TACTTTTTGAAGATCTCGATTTTTGGTAAAGTCATGAAACCGCAACTGCAGCAAAAACACGAAAGCTGCTAAACTTTCCGTTCATTGAGGCTTGATTGATACTAAACATTAGCGCAACATAATCGCATTTGATTTGCTTTGAAGACAGCTTTTAAGAAATTCTGGTATCCTATGCGCTAAACGTGATAAAAAAGCCGCGGTTTTCCTAAGTAATTAATTATTACAGACTTGATAAACGTGGCCTGTGTAATCTGAAAGAGTTGTAGCCAAAGATTTATTCTACATGACAGCTACCAGCGCTGTTCGAGAATAAAGATTTTCTAAAAATTTGGGAAGATTTGATGTTAAGAGTGAGCTGCTCAAACAGCGGGCGATACCATCGGAAAGACGGCATAGACAGAGGCAAAATGTAGCTGTTATAAGGTTAAAAATCGAACGAAGCCAAAGTCGTTCATCTATCGGTGTTCTGCGAATTTTAGTGACCGATAAAAAATCGAAAAACTGTCGGGACAACCTTATTTATAAAAGGAGATTTTCTACATGACTAGTAGGGTGCCTTGTCTCGGAGTCCGTAAACTATAGAGAGATTAGTACATAGCCCACCTGTTTAATTAGGATTCTAGTTTTCAACCATTTCAGAAATTTATCGATATTGATGGCAGAACTACCAATGACGATGACTGCGAATATATGGCGATGTCGGATGTCATAAGCCATGAGTGCACAAAACATCGTGCAAAATGTCGATCCCAAATCAGAGTTACTGATGACTTGCATGGCCAAGCAATTAGACCGAGGCATGTCAAAAGTGAATTTTTCGCTGCGGATATGAAAGAAGCCACGGAAACTGCCAAGCCACTCATGCCTTACGCATCTGTGAATATATCCAAACAAACTTCTCCGGAATCACAAGCTTCCTTCTACTTTGATTTTGACAATGTCAAAACTGCTAGACAAACAGTGAATGATACAATACCACCCGTAATTTGTGAAAAAAAAATGGCGGCGGCACTTAACTTACGCGGCGCCGCCGAAGTTAGGTGACTTTTGCCGCGTCGCGCGGCAAAAGTCGGCGGAAAAGCGGCCAAAGTCACCTAACTTTGTCGCGCAACGCCGCGCAACGCCTAACTTCTTTATAGAAAAAGACCTTATCTTGATCCAAAATTTATGAATTCTATATATAGAGTACCATTCAACTCAGCTCGACGAGGCGCATCTTCCAATATACGGATGTGCATAGTTGTGGGATATAAGTTTCTTTCCTGGAATTTTAGTGTAAATGGACCATTCAGTGTGCTTATTCCAGAGGCTACGTACACATTCTATTGAGCACAGCAGAAATAGGGCAGGTATAGTTTAAGAGCTCATTCTGCATGGATATATGTGAAACTGGGCAGCTCATTCTGCGTGGATATGTGTGAAAGTGGGCTTTTCTCGGCGAAGTATGACGGGTCCCAAAATGCAGGAAGACAAAGGGAAATGGTTGGAAATCGCATGAGAAGCACATATCGCGGAATGCCGCGCGTGCTGCGCAATGTACAATACCACTCACAGAACGGGAATTGCGCGAAATTCCAGAAATTTCGCGATTCCGGATTATCGCAAATTATGCAGCGCCATAACTTCCTTCGGAATTAATATATTCTAAATTCGAAAGCAGCACTGTGTTCATCTCGTAAAGGCGAATCTTTCTACATACGTCATGTCATCTATATCTTGTTTTCAGTTTTCTCAAATTGTTCTGAGGAGGTCCCTTTGCAAGTATGTAACGCAGCGCCTATCCAACTTGAAAGCTTCCAGTAAGCACCATTTGATAGTGCTCTTCTTGTGCATTATAGTGCGCTAGTAAGCTGCCGCAGACTTCTTTTCAAAAGAGAAAAAAGCGTTGGTAAATTCTGGAAAAATCACTCGTTTCCAGATTCTACTCGCCGTAACTTTCTTTGGAGTGGATATTTTCTGAATCCGAAAAATGCATTGTGCTCAGCTCATCAAGGCAAATCTTTCGGTATGCAGAATGTCCTTGATATCTCGATTTCAGTATTCTCAAAACTTTCTGCGGACGTCTCTTCGCAAAGGTGTGAAGCAGCGCGTATTGCCCCCAGTACATTCAGAAAGAAATTTTCGATAGTACTTCTTTTGTAGATTATGGAGCGCTAGAAAGTAGCCGCACACTCCTTTTCAAAGGAGTTAGAAGGGCTGGTGAATTCTGGAAAAATCATGTCCTTCTAAATTTTTCTCAACGTAACTCTAAAATATGAAGCTCTCTTGCTAAGCAGATGTGATTTTCGTAAAGAGCGTGTTCGAAAACCTCTGTAAGCGAAGTTTCCTGTCAATTCGAGATCAAGTAATTTCATTTTTCTCCACCGCGAGCT